ACTTACTTACCTACTTACCTACCTACCTACCTACCTACCTACCTACCTACCTACCTACCTACCTACCTACCTACCTACCTACCTACTTACTTACTTACTTACTTACTTACTTAAAGGCGGCGTGGAAAGGTACTGGCCACCCTACCACAATGTGCCGAACGAAGGCACAGGAAGTTGTCCCACTAACAGGGCAATCCCCAATGTCCGGATCGGATGCGGGAACAACTTTACTGTTATTTACTTACAATACGAGTGCTGAAATATGCACGGATCGTAAATGTTTGCACTGTGTTTACGCCCAAGTACATCTACACTTCAATGTTTTAACCACAAGAGAAGAACATCTCTATACTTTCCTTTTGAAATATTTCAAATTTCTCGTCCAACTTGCTCTGAGTGGGTGGTTGGCGGGTGCTCTGGTGAGGTATGCTCCTTCTTTCCTATCAAACATCTATCGTCCTTACCTCCCCTCCTTCTTTTTTGTGTTTATTACTGTCTTGTAACACCTCTAATTTTCGGCTTCTTATATGACCTTATTATGTTGCAAGTGCCATAAAACTCTTACTACAGGTGGTTGGCGGGTGCTCTGGTGTGGTGGTTTGCTCGTTCTTTCCCATCAAACATCTATCGTCCTTTTCTCTCCTCCTTCTTTACGGAAAAAAGTATTTTAAAAAACTCTTACTAAAGCTAAAAACTTGCTGTGTGCACAGGAGGAGAGGAAAAAACCAAAGAAGGTAGCGGAGCTACGCCATAAACCCGAGGTATCGACCGCCACCACCACCGCAAAGACAAACAAGAACGCTGGCAAGGGACATCACAAAATGGACGTCCTCCATCGGCTGAAGAGCGCTGTGACCAACGTCCTGCCTGGCAACCCTCTGTCCAGGGACTTTGACATCCAGGCGCAGGTGGCCAGTGCGGGGCCGCGACTGCTGTGGAAGGTGTTCTCAGCTGTCAAGAAAAGTACCAAGGAGGTGAGCCAGTTTGTACATATGTGTCCTTGTCTGAGTGTCATTGATGTCTGTGTGTCGCTGGTGAAGAACTTTGTACATGTATGTCCTTGGTGTGAGTGTGTTGTTCATGAAACGTGTGTCATTGATGTCTGTGTGTCGCTGGTGAAGAACTTTGTACTTGTTTCTGTGTGTCACTGATGAAGAACTTTGTACATGTGTGTCGTTAGTGTCTGTGTGTTGCTGGTGAAGAACTCTGTATGTGTCTTTGGTGTCTGTGTGTTGTTGATGAAGAACTTTGTACATGTGTCTGTGTGTTGTTGGTCAATGACTTTATACATGTGTGTCGTTAGTGTCTCTATCACTGGTAAAGAACTTTGTTCATGTGTCTGTGTCGTTGGTAAAGAACTTTGTACATGTGTGTCGTTACTGTCTCTATCACTGGTAAAGAACTTTGTTCATGTGTCTGTGTGTCGTCGGTAAACAACTCTGTACATGTGTGTTGTTGGTAAAGAACTTTGTACATGTGTATTGTTGGTAAAGAACTCTGTACATGTGTGTCGCTTGTAAAAAACTTTGTACCTGTGTGTCGTTGGTAAAGAAGTCTGTACATGCGTGTCGTTAGTGTCTGTGGTTGTTGGTAAAGAAGTTTGTACACGTGTGTCGTTGGTAAAGAAGTTTGTACACGTGTGTCGTTGGTAAAGAACTCTGTACATGTGTGTCTGGTGCCGTTTCCTCAGGAAGCCTCAGTGTTCCTGTTTGAGAAGAAGAGCTTGGAGCGGTTCCAGAAGCGAGACCGCGAGGTGATTGTGGACGGCCTGAGGCGAGGGGTGCAGCAGCTGACCAAACTGAGGCATCCCAGGATCCTCTCTGTCATACAGCCGCTAGAGGAGACACGGTGAGTCTGTCCGCCCGCACGTCGGGCTTGTGGATACCTCGGCCTTGCATCAAATCTGTTGAGACTGTACATTCCAACCCGCAGTTCAAGGCAAGATCTCTGGATATGATTTTACTAGAATTGATGAAATGTATAACAACACAAGTATAAAAAAGATAGAAAGCTTTATAAACGACCATCACACCCCCTTTCCACGCAAAATGTAAGATCATGCACGGGTAGATAATATGTACCTCTAAAAAAAAACAAAGAAAGAAAGATATAAAAGAAGTTTTTTACCATCTAGCATAGGGCTATTGTCAGAATAAGCTTCAATATGTATTGCTCTTTCAAGTATGTATCTATATATAACTCTAAAGGTCTTGTAGTTAATATCCTGCATGTGGTTGAATGATGCATCTGATGTGAATGTACATTTTGTCAGCTGTACTTCTTTTTATATTGAATTTTATTGAGAGTAACATAAAATTAAAATGTTTATGTACACCTGCATGTGTATTCTACGGTCCTGTACGGTGAAGAAAAATTTCCCCCTGGGATAGTGGGTGGTTGGCGGGTGCTCTGCTCTTGTAACACCTCTAATGTTCGACGCTTATGTGACCTTATTGTGTTGCAAGTGCAGTTAAACTCTAACTTAAACTAAAAACACATCAGTCAGATAGCCTGGTATTGATCATAACACACACACACGCATGCTCGCACGCACGCACGCACGCACACCACACACGCACGCACGCACGCACACCACACACAAAGTTTCCAGATGTTTCATCAGCAGAAACCTATCTGTCAACGCCCTGATCGACATTTTGTTCTTTGTAAGGCTGCGTGGTGAAATCAGGCGCTCGTCAAAATACAGAAATTGGAGAAACAGGCATTTTTTTCCATCTGTTTGAAAATTTTTATTGAATTTTTATTTTTTGGCTCAACCTCTTTTGTGTCCAGATAAAAATGCATTTCCATGTGAATTTTACTGAAACACATCGATTAAAGGCACAAAATATGTTGTTGTTTTTTTCAAGGACTCATTAGCTGTTGGATTTACCAAACTGTGGCCGCCTTTTTGTCACTAATTTCACCACTGAAACCAGGCGACCTCACTTCCTTCAATCGCGAATGTCTTGAGTTCTATTCCAAATATATGGACATTTATTTCTTTGGAAACAAGGCAAAGAAATCCTCTTTTAGATGATACCAATAACTCCACATGCCCAAAAATTGACGAGCGCCTGATTCCACTGCGTCGTGACACATTTGTTTTATCTTTATTTTCTCGTTTCCCCAGAGAGGCCCTGGCGTTTGCCACCGAGCCAGTGTTTGCCAGTTTGGCCAATGTGTTGGGGTCGCTGGACAACATCGGCTCTCCGCCGCAGTTCTTGACCGACTTTGAGCTGTACGAGGTGGAGATTAAACATGGCTTGTTACAGGTGAGGGGGTGGTTGTTGTTGTTGTTGTTGTTGTTGTTACAGGTGAGGGGGGTGGTTGTTGTTGATGTTGTTGTTGTTGTTGTTGTTGTTGTTGTTGTTTTAGTTGTCGTAGTTGTTGTTGTAGTTGTTGTTGTTGTATTGTTTTTGTTGTTGGTGGTGTAGTTGTTGTATTGTTTTTGTTGTTTTTGGTGTAGTTGTTGTTGTTTTTGTTGTTGTTGTTGTTGTTGTAGGTGTAATTATTGTTGTTGTTGTAGTACTTGTTGGAGTTGTATAGTTACAGGTGAGGTGGTAGTTGTTGTTATTGTTGTAGTTGTATATATATTGTTGTTATAGTTGTATATGTATTGTTGTTGTTGTTATAGTTGTATATGTATTGTTGTTGTTATAGTTGTATATATGTATTGTTGTTGTTATAGTTGTATATGTATTGTTGTTGTTGTTGTTGTTATAGTTGTATATGT